TTTAGACCTGGTTTTAATCCTGGTTTAATCCTGGTGTTGTCCTGGTTTAGACCTAGTTACCTCCGCCAAGGAGGTTATGTTTTTGCCGGCGTTTGTCTGTTTGTTTGTTTGTTTGTTTGTCTGTTAGCAACATAACTCAAAAAGTTATGGACCGATTTTGATGAAATTTTCAGGATTTGTTGGAAATGTGAAAAGGAAGAACTGATTTCATTTTGGGGGTGATCCGGAAGAAATCCTGGATTCTGGATCACTTTGAAATTTTAGTTAACATTGTGGTAAATGGGGCCAAAAATTTTGTTTCTCAATATCTCGGTTAATTATTGACCAAACCCCATGAAATTTGACTCAGGGATGGACAATGGGATCCTCTTTCATATTCCAAAGGCTGATCTGGATCTGATCCAGAAAACTGATTTTATCGCAATTTATATAAAAAATGGGGGTAGTCCTTGGCGGAGGTCTGCGCTCTCTGAGTGCTTTTCTAGTTTTAGTCCTGGTTTAGTCCTGGTTTGGACCTGGTTTAGTCCTGGTTTAGTGTCCAGCAATGAGTGGAATTACTGAGAAAAAAAAAAGAAGAAAAAAATAAAAAGGGAATAGCCCAAAATGTGAAAACAGGAAAATACCGCCGTGTAATCCGTTTATTTCATCAAAGTAACTGTAATCCAATTACCACTCACTGAAACAGTAACTGTAACTGAATACAGTTACTGTTACGGCCCCAGGCCTTAGTTCTAATATTTCTGCAGCGTTCTCTTGATTCCTGCTGCAGGAGCCCTGGTCCGTGATTGGTGGGGCAGGTCGACGCCCACCTCACCTGCAGCCACGCCCCCTATTTAAGGAGATGACCAGCACCTGTTCGGGGCTGCTGGCCTTGGTGGACAGTCTGCCATTTTGTTTCGTGTGTGTGTAGTTTAGTTTAGTTCTGTTTTGTGTCTTTTTTGATTTGGTCACTCGATTCTGTTTGTGGGTTTATGTGGTTTAATTTGGGGAACTTGTGTTTTGGTTTAGTGTGTGTCCCTAAGTTTTACCACTCATTTTTTGTAAGCCTGTGTGACCCCTTTTCTGGCACAAAACTCTGTTTATTCTGTTGTTCTGTTTCTTAGTTTAGGTTGCTTCCTGTATATTTTTTGTCTTTTGTTAATTTACCTTTACATTCCTGTTAATTAAACATTATTTAATTTATTCCATTTTACATCTTGTTTTTCTATTTTTGTTACTTCCCTCACCCAAACGAGCTGGGTCGTAACAGTTAGTCATAATTTGCACTCTGATTACGTAACTCTGGTACATGTAATCTGTTACTCCCAACACTGCAGAGAACAGAGTTTTGCTGTCACAACAACTAGCATGCAACACTTCCTGATTCTCAGACAATAAAAGGCTTTTTAATGTGATTCAGAAAATATATTTACTGGGATAAGACAAACAGAAACTTTAAAACTGAAAATTGCTGCATACTCACAACAAGACTTAAGAAAACTGATCTGAGAAAACCGAGTGCACTTGAACGCCTCAGCAGCAGCAGCAACTTTCTGGACTCCATCAACCCAGTGACCTCTTCACTGACACTGGGTCGTCTGAGCGCTCGTCACAGCACTCTGCTCATAAACTCTGACTTATGACACTGCACGTACTCCAGGCTCAGGACAAGGACACGGAAAAAGAACAGACAAAGACAAAGACATGAAGGTGGTTGTATTGTAGAATTTCATTTGGAATGTATCAGAAAAATGTGTCAAAATTGTAAAACTTCCGAACATTTAAAAAATTACATCACACCACCACCTCACCATATACACCACCCACAACACCATATACACCACCCACAACACCATATACACCACCCACAACACCATATACACCACCCACAACACCATATACACCACCCACAACACCATATACACCACCCACAACACCATATACACCACCCACAACACCATATACACCACCCACAACACCATATACACCACCCACAACACCATATACACCACCCACAACACCATATACACCACCCACAACACCATATACACCACCCACAACACCATATACACCACCCACAACACCATATACACCACCCACAACACCATATACACCACCCACAGCACCATATACACCACCACCTTTTTAGCGGCACAGTGGCTGAGTGGCTAGCCTCACAGCAAGAAGGTTCTGGGTTTGATCCCCGGGTCGCTGGGGCCTTTCTATGTGGAGTTTGTATGTTTCTCCCCGTATCTGGATGGGTTTCCTCCAGGTGCTCCAGTTTCCCCCATCAACCCAAAACATGCTCCAGGTCCATAAACAGTTGATAGTCAAGGTCAGTTAAACACAATCAATTCAATCATTGTGTCCTTAGGCAAGACACTTCACCCACATTGCCTAGTATGAAAGTGGTGTGTGTGTGAGTGATGGTGGTGGTCAGAGGGACCGATGGCGCCGATTGGCATGTCAGCCGCGCTTCTGTCAGTCTGCCCCAGGGCAGCTGTGGCTACAATAGTAGCTTCCCATCACCAGGTATAGAGTGAATGAATAATGCTGAATAATGCTCTGTAAAGCGTCTTTGGGGACAAAAAATGTCTGTGAAAAGCGCCATATAAATAAAGACTTACTTACCTCACCACATACACCACCCGCCTCTGCACATACACCACCTGACTCACCCGCAAAGCCATCACAATTGTGAGTGATGCAAGTCACTTCAGCCTCCTGCTCTCCAGAAGGAGCTACAGGAGCTTCCCGCCAACCAGGATTAGGTACAGGAGCCTCTGTTCCTTCACCACCAGACTCACTAATAGCTTCATTGTCCAGGCTGTTAGGATGCTGAACTCTCTCCCCTCTCCAAACACCAGGCAACCAGGAAGCAGGAATCTGTGTCTCCCTTAAAGAACACTTGGACTTTTACATTTTTTATTATTTATTTATATATTTCGGAGTGCGAAACACAATTTTGATTCTTCATATGTTTCATATGAAGAATTGACAATAAACATTTTTTTTTTATTTGAATTTGAAATGCTTTATACTAGATTGTCCCAACAACCAAGTATGAACCCAAAAAAAGGACTCAAATAAAAGCCTCTCCTAGAGAAGGTGCTCCTGCTTGTTTCAATGGAAATGTGATTCCTGTGCCTGTAATATTCCATAATAAAACATCTATTTGAAGAATGTTCCAAAGTATAGTTTTAACTTTCTGTTTGAGTGGAATCATGCAGTTGACTTTCCACCTCCAGAAAATTACATCAAAGTCTGTAGCATTTTTTATTGTATGTATTTAGCCCTAAACAGTAACATCAGAGTTTATGATTGTGCAGAGTCTGTCCCGTCTGCTTCTGTCTGATCTCCCTCTTACTCCACATCAGAGTTTGTTTTCTAATATCTGTCTGAATCTGCCTCAAAGAATGAATTAAAAACACATCAGTCCCTCCTCACGTTACAGGAAGAGACCGGAGCCAGAACTGTGCACTCCGACTTAACGCCCATATTTAGTCACGAGCTCAGAGACAGCGGGGAGGGGAGGGGCTCATTGGTTCATAAACATAATTATTTTGAGCAGATATTGTTCTAGTCCAGTCAGACGCTCCTCTGTTGTTTTGGACAGAGGCAGGAGGTGGAGAAGAGACTCCCCTTCACCGGAATATTTATTTAAGATTTATTTTTATCTAGCAGAGCGTCTGTTGAGCTCACTGTGGAAAGGGATAGTATTACCTGCTTATATTCAGGGTTGCCATAGTGATCCAGTTGCGTAGTGATTTGGCAAAGTACAGAATAAAAAGTTGTGCAGGGTTAAAGGAAATGTATGCAGCATTAGGATTTAAAATGAACATTGTTCCCTCATCAAAACCATGTCTGAAGAGGTTTTCTGAATCACCATCTGTGCTTCAATAATCTTGTGATCTTTATGAATCCTCCTCCTGGTTAGGAATATGACAACATGCATCTTGTCTAAGGCTCCGCCCACAAGTCGACGTAACCAGGAAAATCTGCGGCGCTCCTCAGCCCCGCCCCTCCTCAGCCCTCCCCTCACAAAAAAATGAGCAGCAGAGACACAGAGCTGAAAACGAAACTGAAAGGAATCAAGCTTTGTAACATGAGCAAAGGTGCTCTCGTGTCCGCTGATGGTGAGTGCAGGGGGTGATGGGGGTTCCTCCAGGATGGACAGGAGCTTGTTGAGGGGCCTCTTCTCATCCACAGATGTGAGGGAGTCAAACTCTGCACCCACTACTCATCCTGACTTCCTCACCAGCTCATCCAACCACACAGTGTCCTTCTTCTTGAGACTTCCTCCCCAACAAACCACAGTGTTGAAGAGGAAACTGGAGATAAACTGTCTGGTAGAACATCAGCAGGAGCTTCTGGCAGAAGGACTTTAGCCTTCTGAGAAAGTACAACATGTACGAGGCTAACGAGGCAACACAGTGATCTATTATCTATTATCTATTATCTATCTGTATTATTATCTATTATCAAATAAAACCCATAGAAGTGAAAGACCATGAGGAGAGACAGAGTGTGTACAGAGTTTAATATCCAGCAGGAGTCTGGAGCAGGTCACTCCAGTGAAGGCACATCTCAAAGTCAAACAGGTACAAAAGGTTCATTTATACAAATAGTTGTCTTAATTTAAGTGTGAATACATGCGCAGGTATAAAGGTGGTATACACATAGAGAGAGGACAGTCTGTACAGGCTGAAGAACATCGTTTCAGAGCAGAAACTACACTCAGCAGTAGGAATAATGCAGTCATATGATGACTAAGGCCTACACCACAACAATGTGTACATCCTCTGGTACACTCCACACTCATCCACCTCTACTTTCATCACCTCTTACCACATCTCCCTCTGCACCTCTCTCCTCTTCTCCACACAGACACACACACACACAGTCACACACAGTCACACACTCGCACACACAGTCACACACACTCGCACACACAGTCACACACACTCGCACACACAGTCACACACACTCGCACACACACACACACACACACACACACACAT